GATTAGAACATGTGAGAAATGAGGACATAAGAAATCAAATGAATGTACAAAGATCAATTATAGAAGACATCGAAAAACAACAACTGACATGGTACGGACATGTTAGACGTATGGGGAAGAAAGACTACCAAAAAAAATATTAGAATGGGTACCACCAGAGAAAAGAAAACGAGGACGACCACCAACAACATGGATGCAAGGAATTTCAAAAGCCATGTCAGCAAGAAATCTATTTGAAGAAGACTGGCAGAATAGACAGGCTTGGCGAACGGGAACCCAAAGGCGGATTACGCTATAAACGGGATATATATATATATATATATATATATATATATATATAATAAAATTAATACTTATTAATACTCTACCACAGATCCCACAAAAACAATGTGGATTTGTCCCTGGAAGAGGCACACGAGAGCAAATTCACAATCTCAGACAAATTATAGAAAAATCTAGAGACTTTAATGTAGAAACATGTTTGTGCTTCATCAACTACTCGTCCGATAATGTAAAGTGAAATAAAATGTGGGAAATACTGAGAAATGGGGAATACTGAGAAAAATGGGTACCCCCGAACATCTAATATACCTACTAACATAACTGTATATCAACAACACAGCAAACGTCAACAACATATACTCCAATAATTTTAAACTAAAAGCCGGTGTTCGTCAAGGATGTATTATCTCTCCCACGTTATTCAATATATACATATATATATATATATATATATATATAATATATATATATATATATATATATATATATATATATATATATATATATAAGGAAAAAGAAGTCTTTGCTGACAACGTTAGAAAACGGAGCTTTTAGGTTTATTGGGATTTTTCAGCAGTGACATAAGTGTACTCTTTTAACTAAGTTTCAAGCTTTTAAAAATGTTTATTTTCATCATCAGAAAAAACTGAAAATAAAGTGCTACTGTTGGTAAAGCATCCTCGAAATCTATTAAGTGAGAAAAAATTGTATAAAGAGAAGGAACACTTACGTTATTGAGGTTTATCTTTCGTAGATGTTCTACTTACAGGTGACAATTTCACGCACCACTCATTGATTGAGTCAGTAGTTAAAATATATAAAATTTGCATGGTGTAAAAGACCAAACTTGACAATTTAATTTACTTTAAAACGTAAGAAAAAGACAATTACAAAAGTTAAAATGGCCACATGTGCCGGCCAACTGTGGAATGTTAGGTTAAGAGTACCTGTCATTCCTGGACATGGCAAATGACAGTACTTCTTCTTATTTCTTTGTCTTATGTAGTACTAATTACACATCAATTTGTTAACAAAATTAGTGTTTAAGTTAAAAACAAAATTGTAAAATGAGAACTATGAGAATTCACGAAACCTGAAAACTTTACAATGAATCGGTTGTTGAGACATCATTGAATTGTGAATGTGTGTCCAAATATAATAGGTAGGAGTAAATAGTGCTTAACTGATTAATGTCGCTCCTTTTGTTCATTGCTTTAGAATTTTGAGCAATGAATGCCATTTCTAAGAAAAGTCTTTTTTTTTGTAATTGGATTCAGTAGCTAAAATTTTAACTGATTCATAATTCATTATATGGTGTTCTTTATTAACATGTTCTGCAAGGGCAGATCTTTCTGGATATAGTCTGCTGTCGCTACGGTGACCGATTAAGCGACTACCTAGGTTGCGTGTGGTTTGTCCCACATATACCAAATTACAGTTGTTACAAGGGTTTTGTTGTGTTACAGTTGTAATGATGTCTCAAAAACCGATTCATTGTAAAGTTTCCAGGTTTCCTGAATTCTCATAGTTCTCATTTTACAATTTTGTTTTTAACTTAAACACTAATTTTGTTAACAAATTGATGTGTAATTAGTACTACATAAGACAAAGAAATAAGAAGAAGTACTGTCATTTGCCATGTCCAGGAATGACAGGTACTCTTAACCTAACATTCCACAGTTGGCCGGCACACGTGGCCATTTTAACTTTTGTAATTGTCTTTTTCTTATGTTTTAAAGTAAATTAAATTGTCAAGTTTGGTCTTTTACACCATGCAAATTTTATATATTTTAATTATTGACTCAATCAATGAGTGGTGCGTGAAATTGTCACCTGTAAGTAGAACATCTACGAAAGATAAACCTCAATAACGTAAGTGTTCCTTCTCTTTATACAATTTTTTCTCACTTAATAGATTTCGAGGATTCTTTACTAACAGTAGCACTTTATTTTCAGTTTTTCCTGATGATGAAAATAAACATTTTTGAAAGCTTGAAACTTAGTTAAAAGAGTACACTTATTTCACTGCTGAAAAATCCCAATAAACCTAAAAGCTATATATATATATGCAATCTCCGCTATGCTGGCGATACTTTAGTACTAGTATCATCAACAACTGACCTTAAATACATTATAAACAGACTAGACACTATTAGTCGTGAATATAGACTTAATTAATGTACAGAAGACCAAGGTAATGATAATCGATCGAATTAGAAATAACCAGACGGAAATACGAAACGTAGCGGTGTTTGAAGTGGTAAGCCGCTTCAATTACTTAGGTTCTGTTATCACAAACAATGGTGGATGAGAAGAAGAGATACGCCGACGCCTTACAATGGCCAGATCAGCAACGGTCAAACTTACTAAAATCTGGAAAGATACGAACCTAATCAGCAACCCGAAACTGCGCCTAGTACGGACGTTTATCTTTCCTATCGCTACCTATGCGTCAGAAACTTGACGTATAGGACCAATAAAAAGTCTGACTCACGATCCCCATTTGAACAAATGCCATTTGAAATGTGGGTATATCGTAGAATGATGCGCATACCCTGAACAGCAAATCGCATAAAATGACTCAATATTGACAGAACTCGACATCAATACTAGGCTTGCCACAATCACCAACCAAAATATATTAAGGTACTTTAAACACATTACCAGGCTAATGGAAGAGCTTGGTGGTTGAAGGCAAGGTAGGTGGTAAAAGAACTCGAGGAAGATCGCCTCTCCCATGGTTAGACCAAATAAAGTGCGTTACCGGTTACTCTTTGTCTGAGGTAGCACACCGTACCCAGGAGAGAGAAGAATGGATAGCAACTATTCGTCAAATACCATAATGTCACCACATTTACGAAGGATAAAGGATAGAGGAGGGGGAGGACTGTTTTGAAGCTATTTTCATGGGCCTTTTAAAGTAAATACTATTTTAATGGAAATAAGCCACAGTTAAAGGTTAATAAGTTTATTGGCGTTTTAATTTCCACTTCGGAAATCGTTTTTAAAATACAAACATTAATAAACTAAACAAATTTTGTTCTGTTAATATTGTTGAAAAATTCTTCTTATAATTTACCTTTATCTGACTCATTTATATTGAAAATTTATATATATATATATATATATATATATATATATATACACTTCATCTAATTTATATACCGATGCACGTCATCGGCGTCATAGCCTGTGGCGTCACATGATACCAACACAAAATATTTAGGGTATAGGTGTGTTCTTTTTTAGAACCACTTTACCGAGTACACTGACATTACAGCCACTAGACATATTTCATTATATACCCGTAGAAATCATATTTAAAAATTTCTATTAATGTTAACTTGAAGAAATACACAATAATATGTTTCATTTAATTTGTATAAATGCATTATAAAGCGTTTTTTATCAAAAACATTTGTTCGGAACACACTGTAACTCTAATCGAACGAAGGTAAAATTTTGACATAAATTGGTAACACTTATTTGACAGTTGCGGTGTTGACACTTTTTGCACTTCATTATTTTGAATTTTAAAGTGAATATCTCTTGTTTTATATTTTTAACTATCTAATAAAATCTGTTCTTTTTAGAACAAAATTAGTGTGTTTTATTTCAAAAATGTCACGTAAGAATTTAAATAGTCGTTGTAAAGAGATTATAGATAGACTTCTTTTCTGTGTATGTAATATCATTTATTGTTACAGAGATTTCTAAATTTAAGACTTTGGTTTTTAAATTTGAATTGAAGTTTTGAATTTTACTACCTAATTTACCTCCTTTATGATGTAACAAGTTATTGATGTTAAACTTTCCATTCTCTATGTGTGCAGGAAAACAAAGATTTTTTCTACATTTCAGAAGGAAAATTCTTCTGTTGTTGAGTGATGCAAGCTTGATGTTAAAATTGGCCCATTGTTTTAGGAAATCTACGCTAGCAGAACCATATCCTCTCCTGATGTTCTCAAAAAACCCCATCATGTAAATACAAGAAATACTGGATATTATTGACTGTCGATATAAACAAACAACACAGTCTATTAGGGTTGCAGTCAGAACCAACCTAATAACCTAATCATTGCAACCCTAATAAACTGTGTTGTTTGTTTATATCGACAGTCAATAATATCCAGTATTTCTTATATATATATATATATATATATATATATATAATATATATATATATATATATATATATATATATATATAAATTTTCATTACATACATAAATATATATATATATATATATATATATATATACATATATATATATATATATATATATATATATATATATATATATATATATATATATATATATATTACACATTTTATAGTAGACAACTTTAAAATGATATTGCCAATATTGTTCAGTAGCGTTCCTCGGCTCTATTGTCAGATAATTCATTCGATTACATAAAATCAACTTTAACTTGAGAAATCATTTCATCAAAAAATTCTCCTGTTAGTAATTCTATAGTAAATCATGATGAAAAAATCCTCATTATACAATCCCTACATGGTAAGTATTTGGTTTTGCATTTAGTTTACTCTCAATAAACAACAAATTCTGATTTTATGTAATTCACACGTAAATAAAACTCTATAAAAGGATAGTTTCTTTGATAGTTTTATCTTAGTTGTTCTTTCAAAAAAGAAAAAGATACCTACATAAACTTTAAAACCTAAGAAAATCTATAAAGGATAATTCATTTTACCTTTGAATGATTTCCATCAACAAAGAACTCGGTTTCGGTCCTCCCTACACCGGAAGTAATCGGTGGTGCGTTGAATTCATCGTACACTCCTCCTTCTCCTTGACTTTGTTCCTCCAGTATATCTGATCGACCTGTTTCGGCGAACTCCTTCACTCCAGCAGACGACTTCTGTCCTAATCGGAAAAGAGTGAATGACTTGTCGTGACTGCGACCTGCAACATAAAAAATTTATATTAATAATATTATTTATTTATTTAATTTATATATATATATATATATATATATATATATATATATATATATATATATATCTTTATACATAAAAATCTCGAGTCACAATGTTTGACCAAGCTAATATTCAAAAACCACTGAACCGATTGCAATAAAATTTTGTGAGTGTATTTATTGTATATTTTTTATCTCAATGAATGACCCTTATCTTTTTTTTAATTGTAAATTCTAAATGCTTGATACGACTTCACCTCTATAGTTTAAGTTCATTTGATCCATTTATTAAACGTCATTTTATGATATTTTATAATTACATCTTATGTAGTTATAAAATATAAAATGACGTTTAAAAAACGTCATTTTATGTTTTTATAATTTTTTTTATAATAAATCCAGAACGACTAAATCGATTTGGCTTATTTTGGTTTTAAAATAATTATTTGAAGTCCTAGAAAAGTCTAACAGGTGAGAAAATATAATAAAATTATAAAGTAAATGGTAGAAACCACGGTTTTATTTTCCCATACAAACAGTTACATTATACCCTTATACAAAATGTTTTAAAATGATTAAACCCAACGCTTTTCGTGGATTAAGAGTTTTAGGATTTCGGCATGTACCTCATCAGGTAGTACGGCTACTACGGTACGGCTCTTTCTGTATTAGGACGCTCTTATTCTTTAGTAATGATAGGGATCTCATTATTAAAACCTTTCAGTGCTAACGCATGGTCTCACAGACGGAGCTAACCTATTCATACCGATAATTAACGATCTATTCCGATATTCAGGCTAGGTCATTCAATAGCTTCATATTTTACCTAACCGTATTAAAATATTGTTGAACGTAGATACATAGTTCGTTCGTTACACAAGATATCGGTCTCAGAGACGGATGTTAGCTTTTGCGGCTGTATTAAAGGTAAGGATTGTAACTTTTAGATTTGTATTTTTAGTGAATAAAATATTATTTTTTTACTTTTTAGAAATAGAAATGAACTACGAGGAGGAGCAAAAATATTTGCAGAGACTTCTAGAGAAAGTTGATAGTAATGATGAATTGGAATGCAACGATTCTGCGGATAGTTCTGAAGAAGATGAAGTTGAAATACAAGATCTCGATAGAGATAGTGAACAGGATATATCAGAAGCAGAAAATGATGTTTTTGATGAGGCAGAAGCACAAAATATTTGCTGGCGAGTTCCTATTTTTTTTGGTAAGGATAAAAAAACTAAATGACGAAAGCATGTTGGTAATAAACGAGTGCGTACGAGAGCAGACAATTTATGGAGGTATTTACCAGGTGTAAAGGGGGATGCTAGGGAGAAAATAATCTTTAGTGATATTTGGGGCTGTTTTATAACAGACCAAATTTTGGAACTTATACAAAAATACAAATATAAATATTGAACTACATGCTGATCCTCTGAATAGAACCTACAGAAAAACGAATATACTAGAAATAAAAGCACTTATAGGCCTGTTATACATAGCAGAAAAGTTCAAGAATAAAACGGTACAATCCTTAGAAATATTTCGCCTTACAATGCAATACGAGCGATTCAAATTTCTATTGGCATTTATTCGCTTTGATAATAAACAAACTCGTGCAGAGAGATAAAAAGTTGATAAATTAGCTCCTATCAGAAGCTTTTTTGAAGACTTCAACACCAATTTGCCAAAACACTACGCCATGTCACACTATTGTACAGTTGATGAAAAATTAGAAGCCTTTAGAGGCCGCTGTGGGTTCAAAGTTTATATGCCAAAAAAACCAAATAGGTACGGTATAAAAATATATGCCTTGACTGATGCTAAATTAGCTTATACCTCAAATTTAGAAATTTATGTTGGCCAGCAACCAGAGGGACCCTACCAGCAAACCACAAAGACTTTGGATTTAGTAGTACGTTTGTGCAGACCCATCTGGGGTACAAATAGAAATATTACTCTTGATAATTTTTTTACCAGTAAGCAGCTTGCTGACACATTACTGGCCAATCATTAGCTAACTATAATTGGAACTCTTCGAAGAAATAAGCCAGAACTGCCTTTGGAATTTACGGTGCCTACAAATAGGCCTACTTCTACAAGTATGTTTGCATATCAAGATAAATGCACTATTGTTTCGTATATTCCAAAACCGAAAAAAAATGTGCTCCTGATGTCAACAATGCATCATGAAGATGATACATTGGATCCAAAGACTGGTAAGCCTAACATAATAATTGATTACAACGAAACCAAAGGAGGAGTCGACACTATTGATAAGATGTGTGAAAGCTACAATTGTGCAAGATCGACTAATTGCTAGCCCATGGTGATATTTTATGCAATATTGAATATCGCCAGCATAAATTCATTTACAATATACAAGTGTAATTCTGCTCGGACAGATCAACGCATACTACTTAGAAGAACATTTTTAGAGACAATGGGTATTCAACTGCTTGAACCACATGCACGACGTAGGACAATTGCAACAAACCTGCCAATGGTGATAAGTATGCGACTCAGAGAAATGTTTGATATCACATTGAATGTACAAAATATTGAAAAATCTAATGGTCGTTGTTTTTACTGTGGAAGCAAGAAAAGTCGAAAAACAAAGTACAGTTGTTACTCATGCAATAAATTTATGTGCTTAGAACACATAAAGGGTATATGTGTGGAATGTTCAGAAAAAGATTGACTTTTTATAAGTTTAAAGTTACTTCGTATTATTAGAGTTGCGTAAGTTTGGTTATTATAAGTGGATAATTTAATTTTTAGTTTAAAAATAACGCAATTTTTTTTTATATAACGATTTTAGAGTTTTTTTCTCACTTTTTAGAATAGTTGCTTGTTTTTGTTAAGGAATTATTTTTGTCAAAATAAATGTTTATAAACATAATTTTAAATAAAACTGCATTTATTTTAAATAAAAAGTATTCAGTAAGACCCTTGAAATAATTAGATTTTAAAAATTTGTAAAATTTACAGTACTAGGGCATGTATAAACATACATGTCAAGGTGTCATTGGCATGTAGAAGTCGCCGACCATTTGTTATTAAACGTATTCGTAACGTATTTTTTTCAGCAAGCTACTTCTTAATTACTATTTAACTGGAAATGAGCCACAATAAAAGGTAAAAATACGTTTATTAACGTTTCAATTTCCACTTCGGAAATCGTTCTCAAAATACAAACGTATTTTGCATTCCGTTCCATGATTCTGATTTCACTAGGCATGTATGATTTTGGGAATAGCATCCGTAGCGCTATGTTGCAGGCACATAATTATTTTATTTAAATTTTTTAGTTCACCTAGTATGAACTATAGAGTCAAGTCTGATTTTTTCTCATTCTGGTTTTCCATTTATAGATTTGCAGTTAATTTTTGCTTTTCTCCAATAAGAAGCATTTTCTTTCTTTTTAGTTACTTTTTTCTCTTAAGGCATTTATCAAAATTAAATTGCGAAATCACCATTCGTAGACGAATGATGTAGGATTTAACAGGTTTAAAACATATGTTTTAGAGATACGTCGCTCAGAGTATAAAAATTATATATAGAAAATTAAACTAGAATTTACCATGCATTCCATTCGATTTCTACTAACACAATCCTGCTCTTTCTCACAGTCCATCATAATTCTGAACTCGGCAGCGAAGCAAAATCGTTTTAAAGATAAAAGCAAAGAAAAAAAAACGAAAAGGTCCGTCATTAAATCTCGAATGCAATTAAAAACATTTAACATTTTTAAAAGTTTTAATTACAACAAATTCTAAAGTCAGCGCAAAGTTTTTTCACTCTTCTCATCATGTCGTCGCGATGAAAAAAGCATTTGTTAGAATTTTCAGTGGAATCACTTTCAACACTTTAATTAACTTGAATATAAATCCGAGTATAATTAATTAAATCACAAAGGGTTGTTTTCACTCGATATTAACTAATAATTGAAGTGGAAAATATTTAATTTATTTTATTCGTCTTTATTTGATTGGAACACAAAGTATATCGTTAGTCTCTAATATTAAAATTAAAATTAAATTATTTTCGTATTAATAATAATATTAATTAATGAAAAGTCACAAAAATAAAAAACTCAACATGACATTTTAAAGAAAATGATATTTTTTACCTAAAGGAGAATTCAAAAATTATTAAAGCATGGAATGAACCAGAAAAAAATTCGAATATAAAACACACGAACATCCAAGTTATACTAGAAACAAAATTTATCAACTTGGCTGCATGTTCAATGGAAACAAATGAATGTAGTATATACGAACTTTTGTTGTTTTAATGCAAAAATAAAGCCATAACTATCATAGACAATACGGTAAATTGCTGAATTAAATAATGGTTCTGTTTTAATAAAGTTTCACCAATAATTCAATCGCCAATTTTTATCTGGTTGATCTATGATCTAAAACAACAATTCTCGAAACCAGGTATTTATAAAAAATGGATATATTTGAGAACATGTATTGAAAGAGCAGCTTATAAGACTCTATACAAGAGAAAGAAAATGAGAAGCATAAAACGGATTCTCCATCCTAAAGTATCTTAAACATTACTAAAGGTTGGCGATAATTACAGCAAATTGCTCTGTATTTTAAGCTGGTCTTAATAATGAATAGGTGCCCATGCATTCTTCAGCCACTAGCATCTTTTTCTTCTTCTTTGAATATTGGTTCATTCCAATTTTCCTTCGTCTATGTGTCGTACAAAGTTGTATTTTTTTCTTTGTAAATAAGAGACGAAATTAAAACAAATGTAATTGACAAAGTAGGAAAGATTAGAGGAAAAACATGAATTAACAAAAAGATAATGGTTCAATGACGACTGTAAAAAGGCCATACAGAAAAGAAAGGGAGAACACAAAAAATATACGGAAAGAAGAACCAGATAAAGAAAAAAAAAATATATGAAAACGATAATATACAGAAAATGGAAGAAAACCTATAAAGTAACGATATAAGGGAAGCGTAGAAATATCCAGCCAATTTAAGAGAAGGATACAAATCCTAACACTGCCTGGGGTGATTGCAGGGTTGATTGAGTAGCTCTGCAGTTACCACAGGCGGTCCCAAGCCCGGATAAAATGTGGAGGGTGATTGGTAAGGTTAGCAACCTACCAATCGAATAAAAAATACTGCTCAAAGAAACAAAGTACAGCCTCGAAACCGGATTGATACTATAAAGACGACTACGGCAAGAAATAAGGACAAGCGAAAAATATCCAAAACCCAGATAGGAATTACTACTTGGAATATCAGATCACTCAACTCAAGAGACCAAGAAATAATCCAAGTGCCGAAAGAGAAAGAAATAGACATTTGTGCTCTACAGGAAACAAAAAACGAAAGAAAAGGTCAATCAGTATTAGTAAAATACATACTAATCTACAGCCTTACTAATACACCAAAGGTACCAAAATCACATAAAAGAGTGTCATTATATATTAGAAAAAATCGTAACAGCAAATATAAGAATGGAGAAGGAAGACCCGAACATCATCGAAGTATCCGGCCCAGAAAACAACAAGCGTCAAACAACAAGGGAAGCGTTTTACGACCAATTACGAAAGATGATAATATTGGGGGATTTTTACGTTCGAATAGGCAATCAAGTAATACCCGGCGTGAAGCAAAAACATAGCAGCAATATTAAAAACAAAAATGGAGAACTGATGATCAACTTCTGCACGAATAACGAACTAAGAATAAACAACACACGTAGGCATCACATTATCTAGCTACAGAAAGCTCCAAACCAAAGTGGAAGATCAAGAAAATAAAGCAAACAGAGCTGCAGGCTGCCTAAATAAAATAATATGGAGAAATAAAAATATTGGGAAAGAAACGAAAGGCAGAATTTACAAAACAGTCATCAGACCTATAATGACATACGTGGCAGAAATATTCCTGACACAAAGAGGACAAAAATGATGTTAGAGACAGCAGAGATGAAAACACTTAGAAAAATGGATGGCAAGAAACTATGGGACAGAGCTAGAAGTACAGATATACGACATAGGTGCAAGGTGAAGAACATCAAAAACTGGGTAAGAAATAGAAGAGTAGAATGGAACGATCATAGGAAGACGATCAGTAGGAAGACCACAAAAATGATGCAATGACAACTTACAGGAGGCACATTGAAAAACAGACAGAGTCATGTCTACATAAAAAAAAAGAAGAAGAAGAAGATACTAACTCCAAACAAATCAATGAAGAAATTGAGAAAAACAAATAACCAGTGATCTAACAGAAATAAAATCAGTCTGGAAAAGCTATTTCCAAGGGACGCAACCCTAGGGACGCTTTTTCTTCTTATAGTGCCGTGCACCTATAGTACGTTGGCGAATTGTCTTAAGGACAGACGTTAACCCCCGTTGATGGTAGAGGTAAAACATGCAATACGAGCACAAAAATATAACAAGGCTTTCGGTATTTACAACGTTCTCTCTAATCTATATAAATAAGGTGGCGAACAGCTAGTAGGACAAATGATTATACTTATAAACAATATTTAGAATGATGAAAAGATCCATAGCGACTGGAAAACCAGGATTTATATGGCCAATCTATAAAAATAGGATAAACTGAAATGCGAAAATTATTGCGGCATAACCCTCCTGTGCACAGCGTACAAGGTTTTTTGTACAAATCGACGAATCGTTACGAATATGACGTTGACGTCCATAAAATATTCATAGATTTCAAACAGACAAATAGACAAATAATAGACAAAAGTTATATCAAATATGGCATAGTTCTAACTTTCCCCAAAAATACATTCGACTGGTAAAAGCCACAATGTGCTCGTCAACAGCAACACTGTCAAAGTACAAAATTAGCTCACTTAGAACTTTATAATACTCACTTGTTGTTCTCTGTACCTAATACTTCATAAACAATGTTTTGAGGTTGCTGTATTCTTGTTCTACATCCATATTTCTTTCCATCTTATTTAGTTTCTTTTCCAATCTAGATTGAAAAAGATGTTTAAAACTTGGTTGAAATGGAAAGTGCAATTTATATCTCTCCGTTTTGTACTGTCTAGTATTGTTTCTCTCACTTTCGGTGTTCTGTTTGTAGTATTGTTTAAAGGGCACAAAATATTATTTAAAGAAAGTAGTGATCTGTCCCACAGTTAGAGCGTCTTTCTACTCTCCAGTCTTGGCACTTAAATTTTGATTTCTGTCTCATTATTATATGGTGTATGATCGACTTCTGTTGGAGTGAAGGTCGTTTCCAAGTGTATTTATGAATATTTTTATGTTGGAATTAGGTATTCATTATTTTTAATCCAAAAAGTTGATAGAACTCAATTAAGTTGTCCCCTGAGCTATTTTTAACTATTTCTTCGTGCCGTCCCACCACGTCATCTTCTATTTAAGAACCTACTCTGGCATTAGGTCTCCTATTATTTCTTGATGACTTTTTATTTTATCACAAATGTTTGATAACTCTTCAAAAAAGGAATCTTTAACTTGTTGATTTGAATCGTCCGTTGGCACATAGACTCCGACAACTATTGTTTCGATACCATACAATGTGACAGTCATTGTCAGAATTCTTTCTGAGATGTACGCATAGTCTTTTATAATTTTTTTAACGATTTTTTTATAAGAATTAAGACCCTTTATTTAGCGTGTACGTGTTTCTCTACTCCTGACCATATATGAATGTAGTCTTTAATTTGTTCATTTCTTTGACCTTTCTTTTTGGTTTCAGAGAACACTATAATGTCATACTCATTTTTTGCTTCGTCATTTCAGTTAGTATTTCCATTTTCTTGTGAGGCATACCTTGAGTGTTACAAGTACCAATTTTCAAAGTCCTTTTCTTTGCCAGGTGTCGTCGTCGTAGGTTTCCATTTATATTGTGAGGCTCGGCGTTAGAAGTTTTAGTCAAAAGAGCTTTTGGTCCCTCTGTGAGGGACTGGCCCATCGCTCCAACTTCCAAGCTTAGAGGACCAGGATTTTCTAACGGGGTTTCTTCCCTTAGTCGACATGTTTTAGTTTTAAGGCGCTAGAAACTCACCTTTTGCCCTCTCTACGCTGCAAAGTAATACGGATCCATTGTACGCCATATACCCAGTGGTTGCGCGACATATGTGTCTTGGAGGACGTGAAAGTAGGATTTACTGGCAGAGCCGAGTTCTGTTTCCAAAACCCCCAACCCTTTAGTTGTGAAACGGGAGGACATTTCGAAGATTTTTATTGCAATATAAGAGTATCTCATATTACCTCTGACGTCCATAACCAGCCTTTAACCACCATCAGCATATCTAATATCGTTAATAATAAGAGATCGTAATTAACCATATCAGCATATCTAATATTGTTAATTAAGATTTCTGTCTTCATAGCAAGTATTAAATAATAGAGGTGACCAACCAATTTTTAATGCTGCTTACTGATTGTAATAAAGGTTTAATATTATTTTTATATTTTGTTCATCCATGTTTTTGGTTTTGAGAATTTCTATTAATTTTTCAAATTTAACTATATCAACAATTTTGTTGTCATCTTTGAAACAGGTATAAATTATGATCATCACACTGACTACACCTCTATATGGGTGCTAGCCTCCCAATATTTTCTCACCAGTCGTCTCTCTCTATCGTCTTCCTCTGCCAAACACGTATTACCATATGTCTTATGTCTCTGTCAGCCACTTTCTTATCTTTTTCCTCTATATGAAGTGATCGTTTGAAGTATTAGACCCCTCGATTCAATACTTCTTTCTTTGGTATTAATCATCATTCGGACTTCTGCATTGGTTTGTAGTTGCCTTGAATTCTTTTCTGTTCGTGTTGATAAAACAGGCATAAGGTCTTGATTAATATCAAAGCATCCTCAAATAAGAACTTTAAAAGTTATACTTCGTTACGGCAGCCCAATTGAATGTCTAATTTTAGTATGGTGTGTATTCTCTTGTGTATGATTCTTAAGAGCATGTGTGACATAAAACTAATTGTACGGTACTGTTGGCATTAACTTTAATTTGCTAACTTTCATTTTTGGAATTTGACCTACATAAAATCGGAAGTGCAATAAGAGCAATAAAAAAACCCATAGCAAAAAGAGGCAAAAATTGCCGAATCACCAAATAGAGAGAAACCCGAATTGAAACTATTTAAATTAATCGACTTAGATTGCTATAAGTAGACTATGGGGTTTATGAATTGTTAATAAAAAACATAATAAACAAGTGTCTTTCATGTCTATAATTTTGACCTTTCTTAGAAAAACACTTACTGTTACTGTTAAAAACACTCGTTACATCGTTACGATCTTAAATCATTTTATAGACATTCCTATTGTAGCGTTTACGCTACTGACTAGTCCAATTTAAACCCCTCAAGAAATTTTTATTACCCGCCTACGATCGATTTGAAATCGACATTTTTCCCCACGCGCTGTTATCGCTTGGAAAGGAAGATCGATTTTATGCGGAAACGGAACGATCAGTTTTGGTCAGAACTCGAACGAACGCAGCCACGTCAGCCGGTGAAATTGTTCACCTTCAAAGTGACGGAATTGGAGCAAGGAAGAATAAATTAATTTATAAATAAAATACATATCTTAATAATAATAAGTAAAATAATAAAATCAATATTCATTTATGAGTTCCACATAAAAAGGAAGAGTTTTTTTGTTGGCGTGCTGCGAGCTCCATGTAAGTAAATCATTTTATACGTATTATCTCTTTATCATATAATCAAATTTATCATTGTATTTAGTATTTCTTTAGAGATTTATTTTTGAGTTCCGAAATAATTTAAATATAAAATTTCCTTGATTTACTTACAAAGAACATAAGGTCATTTTTTTTATATAGTTAAACTTAAATTCTGTTTTATTCCATGTCGTTACCATTAAGTTTTTTTGGTTCTTTTTTTATACCTAACTTTTTTGGTGGAATATAAAAGGTTCTACAAATGTGGACAGCCTTCTATATTCTGCGCATGTTCTTTTCATGGCGCAAGCTTGCCATGCCTACGACAGTAACTTCATAAATTTGACATGATGTTGACTTAACCTAATACCTAATGTTTTGATGTTTTGTTTTGGTGCAGTCAATCCATGCTGCTACACCGATTGAATTGTATTTATTAAATTAAATAATAATTTTAGATTCCGTCACGTGAAAATATTAATTTCACTTTACTTGAGGATATTCTTTTCAGAATATTCCCTCAAGGACTAGTAACTAGAATCCTTAGATACATAGTTAGCAACTTGTGTATGTAACCCGTGGATTTTGCTGTCACCGAGAGACCAGTGACTGGTTGTGGCTTTTGTGCCCAGGATTCGTCTTTACAGCCATAAATTGATGTAGCCGTGCCAAGAGGAGTTTTTCCTATGGACTTATAGTGCTGTAAAGATAAGTTGTTTAACTATTTGACCTTTTGTATTACGTATTACTTTATATTTACTGTTAACTGATCATATGCATATGATAAGGTGAATACCTTTATGATAATTTTTTTTTGATAATTTAATTATAAAATATTCGGGAGGAAAAGGGGACACTTCATGTGTTATTAGGTTTTAACTAGGATTTAGAGAGTCTGACCAAACTCACTTTTTTTTGGATATAATATTTTTGTTAATATAATACAATTTGATATTAAGAGGGACATAAATTTAATGTGGTTTGTTTTTAAATATTATATAATGAGTATGGAACAACTCATTTTTTGGATGTAATATATATATTTAATATAATTGTAATAGAGATTTATCAAGTTTGATATCTTTACAATATTGTCATTAGTACCTCATTTTAGTAGAACTAATTTAAATTTAAATGACTACCTTTTTGTTTTAAGACTTTGGCTACCCTACGGACTATTCTTGTTGTATACTAATATTTCATATTTTATTTGGCCAGTGGTAGTGACTATTCATTTGTTGAGGGGCTATTAGGTCCTATTGTATCTGTACACCATCCACTACCACTGTTATTTGGCTTTGCATTATATGTAAATTGTTTATACACATATACTTATATACATTTGTTTATAAATATATTTATTGTTGCTATTTTGAGTTTTATTTCAGTTCTACTAACCAGTATATAACATAGCAAAACAAGATTAATATTTAGTATTTTTGTATTTCAGAGTATTACCTCCAGATTCATTTGTTACTTCAAAATCTCAACTATCGTTGAGTTGGCGCCCTTCTTTTCTCTTCTTATTGTTCTCTTTCTATAAATTTATTCCCAGTGACCTTCTCTAGTTGTATCACGTTTGATATTACCAGGTCTCATTTCGTTTCTTGTCTCATTAGCTCAGTATCCTTGCTATCTGTTTAAATCTTTAAAGCCACAATCCAGTGCATTGAAGCTAGCCCGAACACTCACTTGAGATTTAGTGTCTCTTTGGCCATTTAAATTTGTTCCTCTGAGCTTAGCCCTATTTTTAGTATTTTTTTTTTCCATCACTTCTCTTTCAGTTCTTCTGAACTTTGTCAATTCACACATTTTATTCGTTTCACTATCTTGCTTGTTAAGTTAAACATGTAAAAATATTTACACAAAAGCTTTGGCCAGCATTGAATGTTTAAACATGAACGAAATTTGAAAACTCAATATTTGTATGACAAAAGATGTTCGAATATACGAAGGTATAAGATTTTATCTCCGTGATATAACTAAAATGCATTTCCTTGTAACGAGAATAAATCTGATCAAATATCGAATGCAACCGGGAACCATTTTACCTTAAAATTGTCCTCTAGAAGTAAATTGAAAAGAGTAGGAAATTGTAGAAACGTCTATAACATTTGTATAAAAAATGTAAGTTTTATTTTAAAATATCATTATAGTAATGAATAAAAAAACTCATGATTTGGAAGACATATTTTGTAGATTAGCAATGCAAAATAGATAAAAAATGTTAATATTATTATTACAATACCGGAAAACTTAAAAACGTTTATAATATTATATAGATTATAGGGAAGAAAAATGTGAAGACGAAAAACGGGTCCACTGTCATTCATTGATTTTTTTTGAAGCAAAACAAAGATGGTTGTCTTCCTTCTTCCAGTGGCGCTTTGGTTCAAATTAAGCTTTTGTGTGCTGTAGTTTCTTCCACTAACATAGGCAGTCCGGAGCCCCTCTTATATCCATTAAGTTTTGAGTATCTGCTATTCTAAACTTCATTCTGCCATCTTACCGATAGCAACCTTTGGGTCTTCTTTCCTGCATCATATTATGTATGGTTTGTCATAGTAATATGTGATCATTCATACCCAATATATTATCAGTTCATAGAGTACCTGAAGTGTAACACAAATTCTGAGATAGGTGCCTCTTGTTGTTGTTAAAATTCGCGGATGTATTTAGGTGTAAATATCTCATTTTTTGATCGGTTTAAATATAGTAGTCTTGTAACAAAAATTAAACCTAGATGGAAAAAAAGAAGGCCCAGAAGTTGGATACTACTGTTAGCAACATAAAAATTAAGCCAAAAGAAGGTTTTGTATCTGAATTTAAATTAAACGAAGATTTTCAAATCGTTAGTAGCTCCACCATGCAAAGCGCCATTACAAAACGGCGAGCGTTGGCACGTGAATCTATAGATATCCAAACAGAATGATGGATCCTAAAGTCATAAAGAATAAAAGCAAAAAAATAGAATCGTACCAACTAAAACGGAAATAGTTAAAATTTCAAACTAAATAAAAAGGAAAAAGGCCACCACCTCATCTTTTTTCTGACTAACAACAAATATTGGTTTGCTCCCTATACTCACGTATGGTTTACAGATGTGGACACTCACGAAGTCTTATATGGATAAAATAGTAAAAGAACAAAGAGCGATGAAAAGATTAATGCTCGGCGTGAGACTAATAGACAAAAAAAAAAACAAAAAAATGGATAAGAAGCAAAACCAAAGTAAAAGGCGCAGGAGAAAAGATGGAATAAAAGATGGAACCACGAAATACAATAATGAAGACCATGGTTAGGAAAGAGAAACAGAGGAAGACCAGAAATGAGATGGGCGGATGATATTAAAAAGATCGGGGGACACAACAGGAAGCAAGTGGCGCAAAATAATACTAGATTGATTTGGGGGAGGCGTATGTACAAAGGCTGAAGAAGATGATGATTGCCGACCACTGTCGCATGGATGGTGCTTAAAGAAAAAGAAAAGGATGGTATATTTGTTCGTTTTAAGGTCATTTACTCACTTTTCGAGACAGATTTTATTGAAAGTCTTGTAACATTTTATGGAACAAACGTATGTATTCTGGTTAACACCCAATCGGTCTGATTAATTTATTAAAAAATAAAAAGAATGCTTCTTGGATATCCATGCATCTACGAAACTCAAACCGTATTTTTTATGTCCATATTATCTAGATTTTGTTTAAATATATTTAAAGTGTAAGCCATCGAACTAACAGGGCAGTAATCTCTGCAATATTTGCCTTTTTAAACGATTGCCTTTTTATTGACTCCAATAAAAGTTGAGGTCAATCATATTTTGGTATGTTAGTCGATTGATAGAGTATATTCAATTCTGATAAGACTAGATTTTTTTGTGACCGGTTATACCAATGGGGTTAATAGTAACCCCAAAGCTAACCATCAAACAGTGTAACAATACTTGTGAAAAATAATTATTTTTATGAACTACACACAAAATCTATTAAATAAATTTAAAAGTTTTAAAATTCACAAAAAAACATTTTTAGTAAATTATAATAAAGAACTAATAGTTAAACACATTGTTTGCTGTACATTCAAGGCAAGTAGTTATGTAGTGACCCTTACAAATTTGCGCTTCTTACATATCTGGAAATATGTATCC